GGGGCGGGGCCGGCCCCGGGGGAGTCCGGGGAGCGCTGGGGGCAGCCAGAGGGGTCCTGGGGCTGGGCCCAGCGAGGATCGGGGCCGGCCGTGACTGGGGGTGGAGGCAGCGCTGGGAGGGGGCCGGCGTGGACGGGAGGGGCCCAGGGTCCACCCGCTGCAGGGGGGACCCCAACACTGATCCCGGCACTGATCCCGTAGGAACTTCATGCGTGACGCCGAGGAGATCGCCTGCAGCCGGCGCATGAACAGCCTGACGCTGAACCGGCACACGGAGATCCTGGAGATCCTGGAGATCCCGCAGCTCATGGACACCTGCGTCCGCAATGGCTATTACGAGGAGGCGCTGGAGCTCGCTGCTTACGTGCGCCGGCTGGAGAGGAAGCACAGCAGCATCCCCGTGATCCAGGTAGGCCCTGCTCTGCCCCTGCCCCATGGCCGCCCCGCGCCCGGCCACTGCAGCTGAGGCCTCTCTCCCACCCCAGGGTATTGTGGATGAGGTGCGCCAGTCCGCCCAGCTGATGCTGAACCAGCTCATCCAGCAGCTCCGCACCAACATCCAGCTGCCAGCCTGCCTGCGGGTCATCGGCTACCTGCGGCGCATGGACGTCTTCACGGAGGCCGAGCTGCGCATCAAGTTCCTGCAAGCGCGGGACGCCTGGCTGCGCTCCATCCAGGCCTCCATCCCCGATGACGACCCCTACTTCCACATCACCAAGACCATCGAGGCCTGCCGCGTCCACCTCTTCGACATCGTCACCCAGTATCGCGCCATCTTCTCCGACGAGGAGCCGCTCCTGCCCCCCGAGGGGCAGGCCCTCAACGAGGGGGCCATCTTCCACGGCTGGGTGCTGCAGAAGGTCTCTGAGTTCCTGCAGACGCTGGAGCGCGATCTCCAGCGCGGCGTGGGCGGCCGCCTGGACTCGCTGCTGGGGCAGTGCATGTACTTCGGCCTCTCCTTCAGCAGGGTGGGGGCTGATTTCCGTGGGCAGCTGGCCCCCCTCTTCCAGCGCGTGGCCGCCGCCGCTTTCAGGAAGGCAGTGGAGGAGGCGGTGGAGAAGTTTCGGGAGGAGATGAATTCCTACACGCTCATCTCCACCCCGGCCGTCCTGGGGGGCAGTGCGGGGGTGCCGGTGCCTGCGGCACAGCCGGGGACGCTGCAGCCACCCATGGTGCTGCTGGACTTCCCGCCCCTTGCCTGCTTCCTCAACGGCCTCCTGGTCGCCTTCAACGACCTGCGGCTCTGCTGCCCCGTTGCCCTGGCCCAGGACGTCACTGCCTGCCTGGAGGAGGCGCTCGGCGAGGTGAGGCACCCCGGGGACGAAGCTGTGCCTTGTCCCGGGAGAACACAGGGATGGGCTCGCCCTGCCCCGAGTATTCATAGGAGGGAATCATGTGGGTTGGAAAAGACCTTTAAGATCATCAAGTCCAACTGTTAATGTGGCACTGCTAAGGCCACCACTAAACCATGTCCCCAAGCACCACATCTCCCTGGCTTTTAAATCCCCCCAGGGACGGGGACTCAGCCCCTGCCCTGGGCAGCCTGGGCCAGGGCCTGACAGCCCTTTCGGGAAGAAGTTTTTCCCAATACCCAACCCAAACCTGCCCTGGCGCAGCTTGAGGCCGTTCCCTCTCGTCCCATCGCTTGTTCCTGGGGAGAAGAGACCGACCCCCCCGGCTCCAGCCTCCTTTCAGGCAGTTGCAGAGAGCGATGAGGGCTCCCCTCAGCCTCCTCTTCTCCAGGCTGAGCCCCCCCAGCTCCCTCA